ATCTATACAGGCACTCCCCCATACGTCTTCATAACGTAATGCTCAATTAGTTAAGCATAGGGGCAACTTTACCTTTTACCTTCATTGGACAACATATGTGGTAACTTCAAAGGGAAATTATGTGATAATTCTGAAACATTCATTTTGAACTTGTTGGTATAATATTAATAGATTAATTTGATTTAGTAATTATCAACGGATGGATTATTTAATAACGCTGTCAGTAGCCGGAATATATGACGTCGAATAGGACAGACGAAAGATTGAATGGAAAGGATTAGGAAAGAAAATGTCGCGGCATAATCGGGGTACTATCCCAGTATTTCCTTGTAGGGACTAAGGGAAGCCATTACGACTATTAGCCAGTGTCCCAGCCGAGATCTGAACCGAGCACCTCAACACCTTAGTGTTATCTGATATGTTAAGCTCGCTGCCAGTTCATTATAAGAAAAACGTCTATACGCTGTCTCAAAGTTTGCCTTCTAATTAAATGTAGAAAGCTGCAGGGTGGGGGAGGTGCATTTTGATTCACCGTACTGTAAGAACACTGTCGGAGCGTCAAGCAACTCTCTACTGAAGCAAGGCGAGTCTGTTGGCAGACCTCCGCGAGCACTGGCCTATATTACCGCTGTCAGCTCTCACAGCAGCCCCGCTCTCTGTATGACTCTGTACGTATGACTTGCACAGAAACGTTGCAACATTACACACAGCGGATGCAAGAAAAACGGACACTTCACTGCGTGCTACAGTCTGCATAATCTTATACACAAAAAGGCGACACTCTCAGCCCTTAGAAGCACTGTGGTTATTATACGTACCACCCGCCTTAACATTATTAAACCATGCATTTTGCTCACAACTGTATTTATGTGTTTCATATGGTCCTCACAATAAACAGAGACTGCTTCCCTAAGCAGCATTAACCGGCTGGGCTTTGTAGCGGAGACGTAATGTGTTTCCTGTGAGGTACGAACTAAATTGCTATATATTTTGCCGACGCAGTGTATCTGTATGTTCCGTATGGCTCTCACAATAAACAGCGACTGTCTCCCTAAACAGCATTAACCGGTTGGGCTCTGTAGCGGAGACGAAATGTGTTTCCTGTGAGGTACGGACTGAATTGCTATATATTCTGCCCACGCAGTGTATCTGTGTGTTCCGTATGGTTCTCACAGTAAACAGAGACTGTTTCCCTAAACAGCATTAACCGGTTGGGCTCTGTAGCGGAGACGTAATGTTTTTCCTGTGAGGTTCGAACTGAATTCTTATATATTATGTAGAAACAAGTACCAAGTCAGTCAGTTCCGGCTCCTAATGCAAACGGTTCGTCTCTGAACGACATGTTCACAGTAGTCGCAACGATATTTCAGCAGATCATGACAGAGCTAAATGAGGCCGAGTCGGAAGCAGACAGAATAACGACCATCACAAAAACTGTATTAAAACTCATTCAGCAAACTGGTCGCTAGAAATCATAGCCGGGAAATATGACTGCGCTGGCGAGAAGCAGCAGCATTTGTAAACGATAGATCCGTCTTCTCTTCAGAGAGGGCGGCCCATATCAATAACACATCTGCAAATGTCTGGCAGTAATCAAAATCTGGTCCCGGGTCCAAGATGGGGGTTGATACCAAGACAGACCGGCGGACTGACAGTCAATCGTAACATAACTTTGACTCTGACGCAACAAATGTGGAGCCTAGCTTGAACGACCATACTCTCCTCTCCTCTCCTCTCCTCCAAACACATAAATGGTCATGGGTCCCGACGGGTCCCAAAACCAAGACTGACTATCCTGGCGAGGGAAGGCAGCACTTTATTACTATGCTATGCTACTGCAAAATAAACTGCTAATTTATTTTCGAAACTTCTCGACAAGAACTGTAACAACCTCCATTTTCCAATACTCTTTAGCTGATTTATTTTCTAGCAAAATATTTCACTCATCTATTTGCTTGTGGACAAGCGGGCCTACAGCGTATCTTTTAAGCTTTAACAAATGTTTATTAATGAAGTTTGTCTCAGAAATGCATCAATAATAGTAATAACCGTTTTCAAATCCGTAATATGAAATATAATTAAATCTTCCTTCCCTTTACAGCCCTACATGTTATCAAATAATACATAGAGCCCGACGTTTAATGCACATCTGCCACAAAATGCAATTACAAATAGTCGTAATCCGCCTCCTGTATATACTGCGCTTCATATATCCACATCAAAATATTATCAAATACTCACAGAATCGACACGATATACTGAAACAATGGGTTCCTTGATCGTACGTGACCTACTACGTAACTTACTTTCATGCTACGTGTTGACACTCGGTAATCGGTTGCCATGGAAACCCGAAATTGTGTAATTTCAGAGCTTCCGTCTCACCGTTACATTGCATTTTAAAGAGTGGAATAATAATATTATAATATACAGATTGACACAATGTGAAAAACCCGTCAAGTAGAATTTATTACACCCACTGAGCCCTTCAGTACTCGAATACCTTTAAGAAAAGCATTTCCGGTCCTGAAGTCCAGCAGCTCCATGTTTGAAGTGTTCTACAAATATAAGCGTAATCCTGAACTCAACATTTGATAGTGTACGATTTCATAATCACATGTGGCGTCATCGCAACCTTATTATAAAGACAAGATTTACATGTATGAAACTGCTTACAAGTTAGTCTCGTGCGTTCTGACACGTCAAACCCAGCGACGCGGTCAAATGGAGCCACATCCGTTACTTACTCGGGGCATCACGGTCTTAAATATCGTCCGAGGCGGGATACCCTGATCGACGCCCATCATACTTTTCCTCAGCACCTCCATATGAACACCGGGATAAAGCCTCAAATTATGGTATGACTATTTCCTTCAACATCCTTACCAATTAACGCTTTATAGAGTGAATTTCTTCTATATAAGAATATAGTTCGTACCTCACAGGAAACACATTACATCACTATGACGACCAACCGGTTAATGCTGTTTAGGGAAAGAGTCGCTGTTTATTGTGAGAACCATACGGAACACACAGATACACTGTGTGGGCAGAATATATAGCAATTCAGTCCTACCTCACAGGAAACACATTACGTCTCCGCTACAGAGACCAACCGGTTAATGCTGTTAGTCGCTGTTTACTGTGAGGACCATATGGAGCATTGCGTGGACAGAATGCAGTTTTAGTATGCTAAAGCACGTGGTATATACAGTGACCACTGGGCTTTAAAGGGTTAATTATCAATTGATCATATAATTTTATGCTATATAGCCTAACCGTTTAATAAAGCGTAAATACGAAGGTCTTGAGTTCTCATGGCGGTGACTACGATTATTACTGTCTTCTGGGATGTGACGCCGTGTAGTCTGGTATATCGTTACCAATTTTCGGAAGAACACATTGCCTCCAACTGTAGAATAGAAGGGCAGTGTTCTATCTTGAAGCCAGAGACAGGATATTGATCCAAGATCTTGAAAACGTTGTACCAAATTAAACGGTGTCACATACTAGATGCCACTCTAACATTCAAACTATAAATAAAGATATAACACAGTGTATTTCTAGGTCTGGAGATAAGTGAATGGTAGATGTGAAACTTGACAAACGAGTTAGCTCCTGTAGTGCCCATATGGAAGTTTAGTAATTAAAAATAACTTTTCACTTAATTATCTTTATTTTGGTATCAAATTACATTAGTAGCCGTACTGAAAGTTGTCTGCAGCATAACTCTGTGTGGTGTTAGATCTGAAAACATCCGCCTTTACGGCCCTAAATAGTCTTGAAATGAAGGCTACTTTGTTCCGAATTCAACATTTTCTTTACCACAGCATAATTTTGCATTATTCTTATGCAGCTGTTAATAAACTGAATTTCACAATCTGTAACACTATTTCCGTTACATCCAGGCGCTCAACATGCAGATCACAGCAAACAGCTGTTTCGGCACAGCTCTTCCAAAAGTACATACGCATAAAAAATTGTTCTCGGTGCCAACGTAATGAATTTCATTCATTTATTTTCAAATACACGAAGAAAATACACAAAAACTTTGGCTTCTTCTCAATGCTATTAACACTTTATGGGGCCACGCTGTGTTAAAAGAGAGTTCTTAGCTCACAGAAATCACATCATCCCCATTGCAAAATTTAATTAAGGTTATGAAAACAATCGCTGTTCTGAGAACAAAACAAATCCCACAAACAAACAGCAGGAAAGAAATATTGTGCATAATGTGCATAAACACTTTAAACTTCAATGGCCCAAATATAGGCACTGTTCATTTACCACTAATAAGGGTCTAATTCGGACTAGTAAAATTTATATTAGTTCGTATTAACACTTTGCAGCATATTTAAACGTTCAGTTCGTACCTCACAGGAAACATTACGTCTCCGTTACAAAGTCCAACCGGTTAATGCTGTTTAGGGAAACAGTCGCTGTTTATTGTGAGAACCATACGGAACATACAGATACACTGTGTGGGCAGAATACTATACAGCAATTCAGTCCGCACCTCACAGGAAACACATTAAGTCTCCGCTACAGAACCCAACCGGTTAATGCTGTTTAGGGAAACAGTCGCCGTTTATTGTGAGAACCATACACAGATACACTACGTGGGCAGAATATATAGCAATTCAGTTCGTACCTCACAGGAAACACATTAAGTCTCCGCTACAAAGCCCAAACGTTAATGCTGTTTAGGGAGACAGTCGCTGTTTATTGTGAAAAACATACGGAATACACAGATACACTGTGTGGGCAGAATATATAGCAACCCAGGCTGTACCTCACAGGAAACATTACGTCTCTGTTACAAAACCTAACCGGTTAATGCTGTTTAGGAAAACAATCGCTGTTTATTGTGAGAATCGTACGGAACACATAAATAAACTACATGGACTAAATGCGGGGTTCTTTAATGCCCAAGCACGTGGCACACATAGTAACCACTGTGTCTTAATGGGCAATTAGACTACAGTAAACATATTACTCACAGTTTGACAAGCGTTGTTGGTAGCGGAGTTGGTACCCGTGTGAATGATACACCTCTGCAGGTCAGTTCTCTCATATCCGCACTGCACTGACATGTGTCATACGAACAATAATAAGACAAAGACGCAATTGCCGCTGGTGACACATCGGTCGTTGCTTCAGTCCCCACCACCTGCTGCTGCTGCTGCAGGTTTGCTGTCAAACTGTCACACATGCTGAAGACAAGTACGATTGTCACTACAGCCACAATAATTCTGTTCCTCCGCTGTCGAGGCTCCACCAGAAACTTCATACTGTGGTCTCCAAGTTTCGTGTCGTCAGTCGCCCGCTTTGGAGGTACCCACGGCCGGCGCTGGCCGCGAGCTTTCTCAGCGGCCTCGTTCCACTCTTTGCAACTCACTCACCATCGGACAGTTCGAGGTGGTATGCCTCTCTCCCCCCACCCTTCGCGCTGGGTAACTCTAGTTATCAATCTGAGGATAGAGAGCACAAGTTGGCGCTATAGACATTTTTAATTCTTGCACGCGCGCGGGGATTATGAACCAGCCAACCAGTTAGGAACAACTTCAAAAGGCTAAACTTTCTCTACCCCCCTCCTCCTCCCGCCCCCTCAAACCCTCGCGCCGCAGCGTGTTAGAGAGTTCTGTCTCTGTCTTGCCTCAATTTCATGTGACGTCATTGATCGGGGATTCCATGACGCAGTTAGCTTCAACAAGCAGCACCAACACCCTGATGCTGGATGCTGACTGTTGCTGACTGAGTAGGTCATGCTTCGCCACAGTTCTGGTCCTCCAGCGGTCGTGCTGTTTGCGCATGCGGGGCCGGGCTGGGACTGCACACCTCCTCGTTATTTTCCTCAGATATTTATTTCGTAGCTCACATTTTCTCTATGCTAGTTATTTAGTGACGTTGTTCAGTACTGACGGGGTATGCTACAAGCCGGAAGATCGCGGGTTCCACTCCCAATAAGGTAACTGAATTTTTCAATTGACCTAATCCTTCCAGCCGCACTAGGGCTCTGGGGTCGACTCAACCTCTAACATAAATGAGTACCAGGAATCTTCCTGGGGGGTGAAAGGCGGCCGATTGTCTAGAAAATGTGGGAGCCTCGACGTCTCACAGCCCTACGGGCCTCCATGGCATATTACGTGTACAGGGGTACAGTATTGAGACTACATAACCTCAGACGACTAGAGGAATGATCAGTCATGAACTGTAAAAGAATTTCGAAGGACACTGTCGTGGCCTACTCGGGATCCTAACCTGGCAATTGCTTGGAGGGGAACTTGAGGAAAGAACATGAAAAGCGTCAGTGAGGTTAGCGCCGGCGTCCCGGACAAGATCCGAACCAAGACCCGAGTACAAACCTCAAGTGTTTCCACTGGGTCGACTTGGTCGGCACCTATTGTTACATTTGAGGTTATCACAGCGGTGAGTGGTAGGATGATTAGTGAACGGCGAATTGGAAAGTGTTTGGAAAGACGCGATCGTGGTATAATCGACGGCATTTGTCGGGAGGCACTGAGGAAAACCACGAAGAACCTCAGTCAGGATGATGGGTCTCACGACTGAGACCAAAACCGAGCAACTCACGAACACGAGACATGAGGGTTACTGCTACGCTAACCCGCTGTTACCTGTCATTCAAATTTATGTTTGTGAAGTACAGATCCTGGGGAGAAATAGCATAAGGAGGAATAATTTATAATCTACATCAATTAGTATTAGGATCATCAAATCCAGCTGGGATGGGCATCTCATGTAGCACGTGTGAGATGCAATAGAATTACATGTAAAATGTTGACATGAAACAGGAGAAAAAATCAGTTGCAGGACCTAGGTGTAGATGGATGGAAACGAATTATAATGGATATTAATGATGTAGGCTGATATACAGCGGTTTGGATTCATCTGGCTCTGAATTGGGACAAGCGACCTATTCTCGTGAACACAGTAATGAACCCTCGGACTCAAAACCACACTCGAAAATTCTTGACCAGCTGAGCAACTATTAACTTCTTATGTAGTTAATTATTTAAGTGACTTAATTAATTAATACATTTTGTATCTATTTACGGTTTATTTCAGGACGTTTTCAGCAGGTCAGAGCAGATGGCGTAGAAGGGTACGACAATGGCATAATTGAGGTACTATCCCAGTACATATTCGGTGAGACTGAAGAAAACCCATGAAAATATCCGTCAGGATAGTCGATTTTCGAGCCGAGATATGAAAATCAGCCTTTGGAGTTATGAACCCGTGTAGTCTCGTAGACGGTACATACGTTTCGGAGAAGTCATGTGCCTACATTTTAAATCCTGAAGATGGTAGCACTACGATCCTCCGAAATATTGGTGACCACCTACCAGGCTATACGGTATCATACCTCAGAATACAATATGAATCTTTACCGGCATCAAATTTAGGTTCCTATTAATTTCTGTATCTCTCTTCCTTGAAGTGCATCTTGCTCCTTCTTTCTTTTGCTTCTCATTCCTACCCTTCAGTTATGCTCTTTTCCCTTCTCCCTTTCGTTCCACTCACATCCGCATTTCCTCTTTAATTCTTCCAATTTAACCTACCTTTCCATCATTCTTTGTCTTCTGGGATGTATATATATATATATATATATATATATATTTAAAAGTGTTTCGGGGGACTCTATTGCCTCCGTCTTCAGGATAGAGAAGTAATAAATTTTCTTTCCTTTATAGTCCCTAATTTATATGATACATTCTTTGTAGTCCATCTATTTTCGTTCTTTGTTTTCTCTCCCACCCCCCCTTCTACGTCTAGGCACAAATTTTATTATGAAACTCCTAGACACTGCACCTCCCGCAGAGCACGACATGGCACTAAACAGCGGGATAACTTAATCCTGCTTCCAGCGTTCCTAAGGAACTTCGTAACGTCTTTTCACTTCACTTCGCTTCGCAGTTAAAATCTTCCTACAACTTTCAGGGAAACCGAGAGTGACTGTAAGAGCGACACACGAAAGAGGCCAAGTTCCTGCCTAACTTCCGGGAAGAACATACAAATCCCGCTTTTATTCAGGCGCATCATACTACACTGTAAGTCAGACTCTTTTTTGTACCACGGTAGCGTAGTTGGTTGAGGCACTCCGCTACAAGCCGTAAGGTCGCGGGTTCGATTACTCATGACGTCATCGAATTTTTCAACTGACCTAATCTTTCTAGGCACACTATGGTCCTGGGATCGACTCGGCTTCTAACACAAATGAGTACCAGCAATCTTTCTGGGAGGTAAAGGGCGGCCGGCGCGTAAGGCTGACAATCTCACCGCCATTTGAAAGCCGATTGTCTAGAAAATGTGGGGGCCTCGACGTCTCACAATCCTATGGGCCTCCATGGCCTGTTACAGGCATAGCTTTACCTGTTAGTAATTCAGGTTTACAGCTTCGACGGCAGGATGAGTGATTAATTAGAAAGGATCGGGAAGAAAGCGGTGGTGGCCTAATTTTACATACTATCCCATCACACGAAGAGAGGAATCGAATCCATTTTAATATTATCCACTTACCTATGTCTTTAATGGTATCTTTCCTTCTGACTTTCCCACAAGTATCCTATATGCATTCCTCGTCTCCCCCATTCGTGCTACATGCCCTGTCCATCTCATCCTCCTTGACTTGATCATTCTAATTATACTTGGAGAAGAGTACAAGTTATGAAGCTCCTCATTATGCAGTTCTCTCCAACCTCCTGTCACTTCATCTCTCTTTGGTCCAAATATTCTCCTCAACACCCTCAGTCTATGTTCCTCCCTTAATGTCAGAGACCAAGTTTCACACCAATACAGAACCACAGGCAAAATTGTAGTTTTGTATATTCCAATTTTTATGTTTCTGGACAACAGACGAGAAGACAAAAGGTTCTGGACTGAATGGTAGCAAGCATTACCCGAGTTCAGTCGCCTCTTAATTTCCTACTGAATCAGGTTTCGATCTGTTATGGTTGTTCCCAAATATCTGAACCGTGTCACATTTTCAAAACATTTGTTACCCACCTTTATGTCATGATTTTACCATGCATTTTGGTGACGAGACAGCAACATATACTTTGTTTTCTCTGTATTTGCTTTTAGATCAACCTCCTTACTAGCGACAATTAAAGTTTCTGTGTTTCTGTGTCTGTTTTTTTTTATGTTAGAATTTTTCTAACTTTATAAAATTAAATTTTAGAGAAAATTATTTTGAATTATCCCAGATTTGACAGTTCTGGTTTAAATCCATTGAACATGTTAGATTCACACTGCCTGCGACACCAGAGTCCGCCACTTGTCATACAGCGGTGACGATACACCTGCCTGCGCCGCTGGATAGCGCTTCTCCTTGTGCGTAAGCAGCCCCGCTTTTCCTGCTGGGCTGTCAACTTATTCACGGTTCGTTTAATAAGGCTTTCATTATGTCTTATTAAGGGAAGAACACATATTGAGAAGTTGCGGGTGGCTGTGAACAGGGGGCGCGGAACAGTATTTCGACATAACGGGGAGGAAGTGACGAAGGGCTCGAGAAATTTCACGATTAACAGCTTTCTAAGAACAGAAAGGTATCCCTGTAACAGGCCGTGGAGGCCCAAACGGTTGTGAGACATCGAGGCTCCCACATTTTCTCTACATTATCTACTCACAGATGGCGGCGAGGTAGTCAGCCTTGCGCGTAGGCCGCCCTTTACCCCCAGGGAGATTCCTGGTACTCATATTTGTTAGAGGCTGAGTGGACCCCTGGGTTATAGTGATGCTCGAGGGATGGAAACTCCAATGACCTCACTGCGAATCGAACCCGCGACATTCAGGCTTGTAGAATATTGCCTCAACCAACTACGCTACCGAGTACACCAAGTGCTTAATAATCTGTTCACCTAAATTATGATTATCAAATAATGGAGGAAAAGATTGGTGGGGGATGCAGCACGTACGGGAGAGAAGTGATATCAATATATTTTGGTATAACAACCTGCAGAAATGAGACAATTTTGGAAACATAATAATAATTTGTTAAACGGCAAAATGTATTTGATGTCCGATCATTCAGGGCAGCAGATTGTGATACTGACCACTACCGGGTGATGGCAAAGGTTAGGGAAAGACTGGCAGTGAGCAAACAAACAACACACAGCATTCATATGGAGAGGTTCAATCTCAAGAAATTAAATGAGGTAGAGGGTAAAGAGCAGTATCGTGTTGAAATCTCAAATAGGTGGATGTTAATAAAACTTGGGAAACTATTAGAGAGAACATAAAAATGTCTGCCAAAGAGAGTATAGGTTATTATGAACCGAAGAAGCATAAGCCATGGTTCGATGAAGGATGCTCAAAATTATTAGATCAAAGAAAGCAGGCAAAATTGCAGTGGTTACAGGATCCAAAAGAGTTAAATGGGGATAATCTGAACAATATAAGACGTGAAACCAGCAGGCATTTCAGGAACAAAAAGAGAGAATATCTAAAAGACAAAATTGATGAGCTTGCAATGAACAGTAAGAACAAGAACATTAGAGACCTGTATAGAGGAATAAATGACTTTAAGAGGGGTTACCAACCTAGCAGTAACTTAGTGAAGGATGAGAATGGTGATCTGCTTGCAGATTCCCACAACGTTTTGAATAGGTGGAGGAACTACTTCTCTCAGTTATTGAATGTACATAGGG